AAAAAAAAATTTTTTTTTTTTTTATTTTTTTTTTTTTTTTTTTGCCAACTTTAGTTTTTCCAAATTCACTTAACAATTCTAAATTTAGTCCCAACATATTTGCTTTGGAATAAAACTAAGAAAAAAATGGTGCACTCCAGATGATTTAGACTATAAACTCACATGATCTCTGGCCAGTTTTATTTATGAGCCAGCTGTTATTTGGTTTGCAAGCTGACCTTTTCCTCTCCTGAGTCCATAATACAACAAAAACCCAGGTAGAATATATCAAAACATGCCTCTCCTTTCCTTGATTATTTGTCATGTGCAGAATGTGGAGATAAACACATTTTGATCCACCTATGCAAGCCCCATCTTCAGAATCTTCTACAGCTTGAGTAGATCTTTTGTTCATAATTTTAGTGCAGTTTCTAATAAACATAGCAAAAACTAACACGAAGTAAACTAGAAGAAAAGAGAATCCAGAAGATTGTAGAAAAAAAACAGAAATGACTGTAATAAAAAGGTGGCTTCCAACCTTCATTACACGGAACATGAGCCAATATGCTAACTTTTCATTTTATTTTAAAATTACAAATACAAAAACACTTCTGTCCATAGCCTAAGTTTTAGCAACCTAGAAATCATATATTTTCCATCCTAATTCAGCAAAAAATTTTGTTAGGAGTTACCAGAAATCTCAAACAAATAGTTTAACCCTGATCAAATAGTCCAACTCTATATTCTTTATTTTTGTTTTGCTCAGTCTTGAACTTTAAATCATTCCTATGGTATTGCAGGATTTGATCTTTCATCAATCTTTGGCGTTTAAAGGGAGTCTTTAAATCTTTTACCAATCTGTTTTTCAAATTCCATAAAAAGAGATTATACTGGGTTTTCTTGCCACAGCTGCTCCATGTCCACATCCTTTTCTTGATTTTCTATAATATTTATGTCAGATGAAAGTTTTGTAAAGTTTTTCTCATCATCTTTTAAAAGTTTATCCACTGAAATTATTGTTACTGAGATATTAGTTATTAATATAGGAGGCAATGTTTTAAAAAAAATAAGAGAAGAAAAAGTTATAGTCATCTTAGCCCTGTTAACTCTTTTCTGCCTGGTCCTTTAGTTCCCTCTAGTGTCTATTTGCAACATTTATCTAGTCTCCATCCCTAATAGGTTCAGTTTCATTCCAGTCATTTCCTGTGAGTATATTATTTAATTATACTTGTTTTTCAAATCTTACAGCAAAAATAACCAATATTCCAAATGTCTCTGGACACCCAATCCATTTTAAACTTACTTAAATCAAAACCTTCTTTTCTGCTAAGGTATATTATTTTAAATTCTTAAGTTTCTGTTTAAAATTGTTTACATCCAAAGAAGGTAAAACTCACCAGATGTCACATGAAGCTTATCGTTTTGAAGGTCTCTAATAAAAGTGGCTAACTTGAACATTTCTGAATGTGATTAGAAAGTGAGTTTGGCTGACTGTGTGTTCTTATGAAAGACTGTATCTTCTGATAGCAAAGATGTCATCTCCTTTGTTTCCAGGCACTCACTGGAAGCCCGACTTGGCCAGATTTTTTTTTAAAAAATAAACCATATCATCTCTTATACATACAATACTTTTGAGTACACTTATGTCAGGCTTTTCTGGTAGCTATGGAGCACATGTTGCATTTCCATGTTACTTTTCAAAACTTTCATATGATCAGTAGTGCTTGTCAACCCTTCAAAATAGACTAAGTATCTCATCCTGGGCACCTTTGTTTTTACTATTACCATCTGGCAGACGCTACAGGATAATAAAAACAAGGACAAATAGGCTGAAAAGCAGCTTCTATCCCAGGGCAGTAACCATATTGAATTCTATGGTATAGTGCAATATCAGGTTTCCAATTTCATTTATATAGAAAATAAAGGATTTATAGGTATTTATTTTTATAGTCATAATGTACACTGAAGACAGCATTTAATTTCATTGTACCATGTGCAATGACAATAAAGTAAACTAAACTAAGTTCTCAGGTTCCCTGTTTCAATTTGGCTGATAAAAAATATGTTGATCATGAATAAAGTCTGCCCAAACTTCATAGTTATCTTGATTTGCAAATGTCATATTCAAGAGCATTCTTGAATGAGCAACAATCAAAAATAGAAGAGAGTGGGGTTCAAGCAGGGGTTTATAAACTTGAATACTAGATTGGCTATCATCCAAGAAATTATTTTCTCAAACATGTCTTAAAAAGGGAATGGAAAATGCAAGTAGAAACTGCCTGTAAAATAAACAGCGATACAGTACATCCTTCTCTTAGGCAAGTAGTGGATCCAAAAATGTAGCTTAGGGATTAATTATCTCAATGGATAATTGAATAAGCCACTTTTGGTAAACCCTTGCCAGTCATACAGCCAATCTGTGGATGATCACTTTTTATGTCAAAACACATTATCTAGATTGGTGATCACAAGTAAATGAAACACCATATAAACATGCATCGTGAAAATCATAATAATATTAATAGGACTGTTCATCATAGCAGAGCTCTACCTTGCTTTAGGAAGCCCAGAATAATCCAATCCAGAAAGCAACCTGCTAGTGGAGAAGAAGAATCGAGTCTTTAAAAATTATGTTCTGATGGACAGAGAATGGGTAAGCTCCTGCAGTCCTTTTGCCAGATCAGCCACATACCAGTTTTCCAAACATAGTAAGAATTAATTTAAACAGTTTTTCTTTGAGATCATTAGTTATGACCTTCGCTGGAAATCTTCACTGCAGGAAATGAGTGGAAATGCTGCCTTTGCTTGCTGTATGTTGATATACCTCCAAAAGACACATGCACAACTACAAATAATATAGGCCACTTTATTAAAACTAGGTTGCTTAGCAACATATGAAAAGGTGTGCCAAGTTCTTATGCTCTATGTAGCGTCGTAGTTATGTTCCCTTGTTATGGGTGCAGACAAAAGATA